TGCAGACTAAACAGCAGGTTGCTTGTCACTCTGACCTGGTCCTCTAAATATTGCACTGGGGAGACCTCAATTTGAATTTCCAACTTGTGAAAGCAGACTCGGCATCCTCCTCCTGTTAATCATTATGCTGTCTCGTGAATGTTTTCACAGCCTCTGTGACTCCTCTCCTAGAACATGTTGGGAGACAGACTGGCAGCAGCAGTAAACTGAAACCGGGTTCTGTTCGGATGGGTTTCAGTGCTGGAAAAGGAGGATTTCTTTTAAAGCAAAGGCATGTGTGTTTTCTAATTTAAAATCGGTTACATTTCTGTCGAAATAGGCTCATGCATTCCATCTGCTCTGCGTTGTAACTGTCTGAAGTCTGATCCCGAGTCTGCTCTCGGCTTTGTGGAATAGGAAAAAATTACTCCTGCGAGTATTTCGGTCCTCCTGTGTTATTAGTGGTGCTAAGCATGACCTTCCTTAATGTCAGTGGGCACTTAATTTGACTAACGTGTTTGTTATTTTAGAGGGAGCGTTTGCATGTCTGCAGATCATAACAACACTGTAGTACAGTTTCCTGCGTGCTTGTCTCGTTAGTTAACATGAAATCTCAATGCGTTACTCAGGGCATGAGCATGCGGGGAATGTATTAATAGCGATTGCTTTCTATCGCTCGGCTATCAAGTACTGCGCTATCAGAAATAGATCTGGGCTGATGAGACTGTCTACGTATTGTTTACAAGATATTTCAGATCTGGGCAACATTTACTTGTGAGTCTGAGTCACTTGAGCAGTCTGTTGCAACGCAGACACGGAGGGAGGCTCTGCCAGGGCTCTCCTGGAGCAGGCAGCTGGACCACGGAGGGCTCCACCAGCCCCTAGCCTGGGTTTCTGCAAGAGTTATGAAGTCTGAAGATGATCCTGAGGATGGGGAGAACTTGCATGGGGATCCAAGTGAAGTGAAGGATGGAGCAAGATGAATTCAGGGCAGAGGAGAGAGCACGTTTCTCAAAGCAGCCTGCTTGAACTCTGCCTCAGTGCTTTGTGAGCTGCCCTGGCTTGTAACTTGATGTGAGATAAACTGATCGCTCCTGGCAGCGGGACGCTGTGGGTTTGACGATGACTTGTTGGTTTTCTTGTGCAGCTAAAGACACAGTAGGTATCCCGGGTCTCACGTCAGTGGCAGCAGCTTGCAACTGCAACAATGCAAAAGCTTGCGTTTTGTAACCGACAGGTTCTTTTTAATTAATGTGTAATATGTGTCTTTAACAACTTGTCCTGTGAGGAATTTTCCTTACGTGTGAGCTGTTTTGGTGGCAGGATTCGGTTTAGTACATCGTAGGAAATGGTACCATTTACTTAAATGTTGCAACCAAAGTGGGGGAAAAACCATTAAGATGATGATTTATTTAAATACTGCTCTTGTTCACCTGAAGATTTATGAAATGGGCTCAAGGAATGGCTGGTGAAGGGTTTTCTGCAGATCTGTGTGAGCTTTTGCTAGCAGGTGTATGCTGTAGGTGTGGAATGTGGCGATCTAAACCCAGTTGCAAACATGCAGGATGCGATCCCTTCCCTCCAAGGATGTGGAATGTGTCACGTGCAAAAGAATTCCGAGGGGCAGAGCTTGGTGCTCGGAATGTGCAGTTCCTAAGGTATTTACCATAAACCCGAAACCTTGCCCAAGAAGGCAGCTCGGCAGAGGAGGCTTTGGTTGAGGCTCCAGGGAGTGCTGCTTCCCTGGCACTGTGTGAGAGCAGTAACGTCATGGTGTGATGCTGCATTACACCGAGCAATCTGGCATGGCTTTTAACCTAATGCATGTTTCCATTGATTGACAGATGGGTTCTGTACTTTGCTGGATAATGCTGGGGCTTGTAATTACGTTAGCTGTCTATTTTTACTGCTTCAGGTCACTTTTAGCACGTATTGTACTGAAAAAGTGATTACTATGGCTTCATGATTAGTGTAATCTTTCTTTATCATGAGGATGGGAATAGGGATAATGATGGTTACAGCTCTGTTATCTGGATCATTCTAGAGGCTGGTAATGGGGTTTTGGTGCTCCTGTTTTCTGTGTCTCCTCTTTAGCCTAGCAAAGCCTGGCTCTGGTGCAAGGTGAGACCTTGCACAGCTCTGGGCTCTGTCCACTGACAACTGTCCACTTGGCATTGGCACTGTTCTTTGTGGATCTTCCAGACTTTATTATGTTAAATCCTGGAAGATGTTGGTCTTTTCTGGCAACGAAGTCATAAGGGGAATACAGGTCTGTCTTGATGGAACGTCACTATTTATTTTTAACATGAAAATTGTACAGCTTTGGGGGTCTTTTAATCTGTTCTTCTTTTCATATGATAACTGAAGGCTTTTGAATAGTGGGTTTGGAACTTCAAGGAGGTGGAGGAGGGTGTTATGATGAACCCAGCATGAAGGATACAGGGTTGACGGGCTGCTTTCTCACTGCAAGAAACAGAAGTGTCTTCAGCTGCTCTAGTATGGAAATGATGAGGTTTATCAGTTTTAATGTTCTTTGTTCAGTGAGGTGTGGAACTTCTGATCCACAGTGATAAGTTACTTTATGCACCTGCAGGCTGCCTGTGTCTCACTGTTATCAGTAAATTCCTCTGCTGTGTACATTCTGTTTGAATATAATGTTCCTTCATAAGCCTTTTTCTTCTGTTAAAAGCTTTGTGACTATCAAGTCATCAGTGGCCAGCTTGGCTGTGAGGAACAGAATTTCCTGAAGAGTATAAAGCCATTCAGAAAGGGGGGCTGGCAATGAGGCGAAGCAGCTCCGTGTTTTGGGGTGGGATGCTTGGCCTGGGCCTTGAATCTCTACATTTGGAGTAAACAAGGAGAAAGTGGGGGCTGAGGAATGTCTGAGGCTGGATGTGCAGTGGTCTATTTATAACTGACTCCTGCTTCCTCTGCACTCTACATTGCTTTGGTAATTGCAGGCAATTGAAAGCTAGAAACTTTGAGTTTCTTTCTTCAGCTCAATTGATGTTCATCTCTTGAATAGCACACTTGGCTAAATTTTGCCCAGTGGAGCAGTCTGACACAGGAAAAGCTGTGTCCCGTCATGTATTTTTAGCACCTCCATTTGATGTTAACATCTGAAACCTGCTTGGGACGTAATGGAGCTGGTTCAGATCTGCTTTTAAGACTGGCCAAATTGAGTGAGTTGTTATTAAGTACCTTTCTGTGCTGGTGCCATGTGTGTACCTATGATGACTCGCAGCACTTCAGCATTCAGCTTCGTGCTATGCAGGGTTGGGGTCTCGACTGTATCAGACCTGAGGCATGTGAAGCGCAGGGGTGTGAAGGGATGCTCTTCCTGGCAGCATCCTGTGGGTCAGTGGAATGGGAAGCAGCAGCAAACTGCACCCTGTGAGTGGATGGAAGCGTGTGCCGAGGAAAAGCAGGAAGCAGATTGTGAGAATGGGCAAGGTGAAAACTGGGCTCTGCCTTTTGCTTTTCATTGTATTAGCTAGGTGTTGGACATGAAAACCAGTGTGACTTCAGTAGAGCTGGAGGCTCAGCTGTTCTTGATAAATCTGAACAAGTTTAGAGGGCTAAATTTAGGACATATTTCATGTCTTGCTGAGTCCATGAAACCAGTCTGCTGTTGATTGCACATTTCATAATGTCCTGCTTAAGTATCATACCAAGCTCACCTGTTGAGTTCTCCGTGGTACTTTCACTATATAAGGGTTGACAGGGGGAAACTGTAGCAGCTGTGATTTATCTGCCCACTTCCTCATGAAATCACTTGTAATGAACACTGAAAAGCTGAGACTGAAGATGACTGCTTGGATTGGAAGCTGTTAGCAGTACTATTTTGGGCTCTGTTACTTGCAGTTACTGACTTATCTGTTCCTTTGTGATGCATCTTGTTTATTAATTTGTAAATTCTGAGGCGTGTGCAGATATTTAATATGTGGAAGTGAAACATTTGATTGTCTTATTTAGATTCTTGCAAGTCAAGTAACTGACAATAAGGATGAGCAGGAAACCCTCCTGTTTTCATTCAGTTAATGGAGTTAATTGCCTTGCTGATGTGAGAGCAGTTGATGTGCCTTCCCTGAAGGGCATGAGACAAAGAGGAGACAGCTTGTCAAATCTATAGCTGCTGCGGAGAAAAGGAGGGGGGAGTTCTTAATGTGCAGAGTGGAGAGATTAAACAGTGATCACTAGGCATTAGGAAAGATGTTCTCTGACACAGTGAAGGAAGGACTGAAGTGCAGGTCTCCTTGGGCACTCTACCCTTCCTTCAGTGGAGCTCTTGAGAGGTATTAGAACACCAGGCTATAGGTGATGCTGTGTGGGGCTCCCTCTCTGCATGACTTCTGAAGTCCCTTTTAGCCCCACTGTGGGGTTCTTGAGATGCTGCAAGTTGCTCTTCTCTGAACTGTGTACATGTACAAGTGCACATGGTAGCCCTTCTTGTGCTGTGTGAAGTCCTTAGTTCATCACGGCCCTATGGAGCATGTATAGGAGAATGTATTTGTTGATCAGAATGGAAGTATCCATGATGAAGAGGAGAAAAAGCAAAGACGCAGTGACGAGACAGCTATCCAGGCAGTTTTGTGTGGCACACAGAGGGGCTAGAAGGAGATGACTGAAGGCAGCCTAATATGAGAAACCATCCGAAATCATTCATTTTGGAATGAGGATAGGGACCTGCTGTATGTGGCTTTAGTTTTAGGCCTAGGAGACAGAGCAAAGAATGAGGAAAACAGAAGAGGTTTGATCCTCAAGGTCTCCTTTAGGACAAAAGCAGCTTAACCAGACAGTCTTGGAGCACTGTACATGCAATGCCAACAACCTGATTGAAATGCTACAGTGAGATGGTACATAAATAACTCTAAATATCTTTAACAGGTACGACTCTAATTGCAAACAAAGGTATTTTTTGCGTATTCCCCCAAATGCATTTGATCCAGCCTTTCATTGCAATCCCTTAGTAGATCAATAGTGTACCGTAAGCTCACTTGCTTTTCTGTTCTCTTACACAGCTGAACACAGACTGGAACAAATACGATGACAGGTTAATGAAAGCAGCCGAAAGGGGAGATGTGGAAAAGGTTTCATCAATCCTGGCCAAAAAAGGAGTCAGTCCCACCAAACTGGATGTGGAGGGGAGATCTGCGTAAGTAACTCCCAGTGCTCTAATAATGGTGCTGGGAAGCTGCTGAAGGCTATTCAATTCCTAAATCTTGCTGCTGCTCTAAAACCTCTTCTTTTAATACATAAACCCGTGTAGTACATCGTGTTAGATTAGAATCTCATCCAGATTGGAATACCGGGTAGCCAGAATGTGAAATTCTCATAAACAGTCTTCACTTCAACAAGAAGATGAGTATTTAAATACTTGCTCTTGCCAGATTTGAATATTAAGGAGACATGGAAGGCATATTGGTTTTTCTTCTGGGTCTCTGATTCAATGGTTACTTCTCAGGAAAGCTATCTTGTTCCTTAAAGTAGTATCTGCAAGACTCTTGGCTGGATTTGGGTGCTGTCCAGAGTTGGGTTTGTACTGTGTAATGATTTCAGTGCACAGCTCTGATTTTTCTGGTTAATATTGCCGTGTTTGTGTGCAAACCAGATGGGTTTCAGCAAGGTATTTTCTATTTGCAGATTCCATGTTGTAGCATCAAAGGGAAACCTGGATTGCTTGAACACTATCCTTATTCATGGAGTTGATATCACAGCCACAGATGCTGCAGGTAGGCTTCCTTTTGCATCCCAGCGCAGCTTGCAACAGTTCTTGGCTTGGTTTTCACTTTGGAGTAGAATTAAGCTGAGCTTTGGGATAGAGTGTTTTCCTCCTTTCTGTAGCAATGGTAATGACTCATGGCTGAGCTTCTAGGAAACTGTCATGTCCTGTCCTGTAAGTTATTGAGCTCTGCTGCATTCATGAACTTGGGGTTTGTGCTGCTCTAGGTATGTTCTTCTTCAGACTCACTTGTGAGATAAGCATTTCTGCTTCAGAATCACATTATATGAACAGTTCTAAATGAATTTTTGTTCATTTAAATACTAAGTGTATTTCACCGAGCCTTGTGAAGTGCTGTACACATTGAGGATTGGAGCTAAATGATGTGGTAGGTGTTTGGGCACCCATACTGAGCCCTCCAAAATCCAGAGCGTGGCTGTGCTACATTCCTTTGGGATTTGCATGTGTGGTATCGGAGTTTAGGTGAAGGTCTTGGGGAAGAGGTAATTAAAAAGGTGCTAATTTTGCCTTGGATTATTTAACATGGCTAATGAATATTCTCCTATTTTAAGCTCCAGTAGCTGAAATAACCCAGCCTGCTCCTTTCATATGACAGATCAGCTTTGTAAATGCTTATGTGGAGTCATTTACAGTACTTTGAGATTAATTTCATTATAGAACTTGACTCCTTGGTTGCAGTTTCTCTAAAGCAAGAGAAGACTGTAAAAAATCAAGTAAATAGGGAAGAGATGACCTGGCTATAGCACTGACAGAGCTGAAGGAGGGCACAGGGACTGCTGTAGCTGAAATGATAATGCTTTAGTGACGTACAAATGAGCGTTTTATGAATGATTGTTACAAAGTTAGCAATGGACTTCCTGAGAAGCAGCACAGGCATGTTGAACTGTGTGTGGTGTTTCTAAATGCATGTTAACACAGATCCCGGGTTGATGCTGATTTCTGTTTTCAGGTAGAAACGCACTGCACCTCGCTGCGAAGTACGGGCACGCTTTATGTTTGCAGAAGCTGTTGCAGGTACTGGAAATACAACTTCTCTGGTTTTATTCTTGAGAGGGGAAAAAGGTGCTCTTAATACACTTCATTAATGAAACAATACTGGGGGGCTGCTTTAGGTTTGTGTGATATTTGTGTTTATCTGCATTTATTCCTGGTCAGTTTGTGCTCATTTGAATCTTTAGCTTTTAATGGGCTCTTCTTACCTTGTGTTTGTATGATGCATGTCTCTGTGCAGATATAAATGGCACATTCTCTGTGGAGTGCCAGAGCTAGTAGTGATATTGGTAGTGAAGGAGTCGTGACGAGTAGTGGGAAATCTTAGCCAGAGATTTTGAAACACAGAATATCCGAAAGTGTTTGTGAAAAGTCACTGTGGGATTGTGCATTTTCTTTGCATGGTCTTAATTCTACAACTCTTGATCAATGTGATGAGAGCACGGAAGTGCATGTACCCATGGCTTTTTCTTTCGTGTATGTCACTGTATTTGTAAATTACAAACACATTTTCTTCAATCGCTCTTTACTGCTTTAATTCAAACCTCAAAACATTTAGTGTTTTGGAAGTGCAGTCTGAATCCTAATGGATAACTGGGGTTGCTTATTTTAACAGTACAACTGTCCAACGGAGAATGTGGATCTCCAAGGAAGAACTGCTCTGCATGATGCAGGTAAAAGGTCTTGCTTTTCTGGTAACTGTAGTATGAAACCTAGCTTGAATGAAGGAATTAATTTTCAGGTGGGTCAGATTCTTATCTTTTAGTTGTGACTGTGGTAGGAGAAAATGCTGTCATTATATTTGTCCTCACTAGCAGCCTCTTAATGGTTTTAACAGGTTGTAGATCTGAGTCTCTTCTGGAGCCCATGAATTGTCTAGTAAAATCTCAAGTATCCTGAGCAGTGTTATAGAGCAATGATGTTAATAGGTTGAGATACCTCTACTCTGCATTCGCACTGTGCTATGCAGAGTCTTGAACGGTCGTGTTTGTTTTCTTTAACATGCTTTTGAGATGGTTGTGAGAGGACCCAGTCACAGAGCCATGTCATGCTTTAAGTTGGTTGCATGAATTTTTGTGAAGCAGATACACCCATGGAGGTGTTTGGGGTTTCACAAAGGCTGCTTTCAGCAATGTAACCTACTCTTTTCTTTTTCTCTCGAAAGCTATGTCGGACTGTTCCTCAAGCATACAACTACTGTGTGATCACGGGGCCTCAGTGAATTCAAAAGACGGAGTAAGTGGTGACTAATAAATGTTGCATTCTCCTGCACAAACCCTATTGGAGTTCTTGTGCTTTCCCTGCTTTCCCTCCTTCTCTTATTACTTTTGCCTTTCTTCAGGATGGGAGGACACCGCTAGTGCTGGCCACTCAGATGTGTCGTCCCACGGTTTGTCAGCTTCTGCTAGACAGAGGAGCAGATGTAAATGCCAGGGACAAACAGAACAGGTAATGCATGCAGGGGCTTGTCAGAGCGCCCGCTGACATTTAAAGGGTAATAAAAAGCTGTCACTTGGCTTTCAGGCTGCAGAATAAATATGCTAAATTCAGTGGAAAAGAGCCTGCGTTTTAGTTCCAAAGTACATGTGCCAGTTCAATAATGCAGAGAAGCATGGCTTTATTTCGCTGCTTATTCTTGCATCCTAAATACGTACAGGCTTGTGCTTGCCAGCAGAGGAACTGCACTTGGTTGTTTTAAGGGTTTGTCTGTCCAAAGCTGTATCTTACACCTTTTGGGATCAACATACAGAATGGGTCATGACAAAGGTGGCATTCTGACAAGAAGTACTTGAGTCTCATTGGAGCTCCAAAGGGACCTAAGGACCTTGAAATGTTTAACTTCTGTGTTCATGGAGAAGGGGCCAGGGGAAGGATTTTCTATTTGCAGCTGCTACGTCTGCCAGTTGTTCTCTGGGAGGGTGACTGCCTGGTGGCCAGGGGACACGAGGCTGCTGTGGGACAAAGCATGGATACTTGCATTGTGTGCTCTGAAGCTGGCAAGTTATTTTTAAGGCATTGCCAGGGCTCTCAAGCTGCACTTGGCCCACCCTGAACTTTGTCTAAACTTCTTGTCTTGTTTGTTGAGTCTATTGAGATTTCTATCTAAATAGAGAGGAAGCCAAAGTCATATGAGTTCAAAACACTGGGTGGCTCTCCCACAGGCTGTAGGTTTGTGTTGGGTTTCATCAAAATACTTCTATTACAGTGGGCTTGGTTGCTTTTTAACATATTTATCCATTGACAAAATAACTTCTTAAAGATTAGTTTCCTCTCTTGATAGAGAAGAGATTCCTTGACTCAAGCTTCTGTGATTAGACAGAAGTGTATGATGGATTCTTTCTGTGATTGCTCTGTTAAAGCACAAGCACCCGAGTCTCTGAACACACTCTTTCTCCCCATCCTCAGGACTGCCTTAATGTTAGGCTGTGAATATGGCTGCAGGGATGCAGTGGAAGTGTTGCTCAGAAATGGTGCGGATGTTAGTTTGACTGATGGCCTTGGTCATGACTGTGCTTACTATGCCAGGATTGGGGACAATATTGACATTTTGGCTTTAATAAAAGCTGCCGTTGAGGATTCCAGCAAAGGTACGAACCACGTGGCTACAACAGCTTTTTGTTGTCCTTTCATTTGAATTGTGTATCTTCCCACTGCTATGTCTTCAGGAGCTATGGTTTTGGAGGGCAGCCGTAGTCCTTTGAACACACAGGTGATACACTGCCTGTTTGGGAGGGGAAAGAAGGCTTTGGGGTTTTGGTTTTAGTAAAGCTTTTAAGGTAAATGCAGGCTGTGATGCGCTGAGGTATTAACAGTGCTTGAGCCTGGCATTGCAGTATTGATCATAGGAGTTATTTGGGCTCACCTGTAGAAGAACTTTGCACTTGTGAATGTTTCCATGTTGGTTTAATTGGGTTGCTGGTGAATCTAATTATTGAAATGATCAAAAATATGTAGAATTAGCTGAAGGTGTTGCAGGAGCCTGAAATGTGTATTTTAACTGCCTACTTTTGTGGTGCTTTTTTAGGAAGAGATACCGTGAAGAAGGGGCAGCCCGAACAAAAGGTAAGGCTGCTTGTACTAAATGTCTCTAAGGCAGTATATTCCTGGGGTTGCTGAGAGGGTGATTAAGATCGTGCTGTGATGCAAAACTAGTTCAGTGGTTTTTGAGTTCTTAACTTCATCTGTAGCTGGGAAGATTCCCGCTGTAATCAGCTGGGGTGGCTATTTCTGTTTGAGAAATATGTGATGATGTGCATATTTGGGATTAGAGTTTTGACAAGCATCCCATTTTCTGTCTGGATGAGATCATGAGTGACCTCTTGCTGAGAAGCAATCTGTCCAAATGCAAAGGCTGGTAATAGTGCCCCCCCAGCAGGAGCTGGGATGGAGGCAGAGCTCATTGTACCCAGAAATGGATGTCTGCAGAACGCAACAGGAATGTAAATTAATACTTTACTGTTGCAATAACAGATTACTAATGTGCCACAGAAGTGGAATCGGCTGCATGCGCAGGAGGAGGTGAATGTCAAGCTGTATCAGAAGGAACATAACGCTCAGGTAAGTGAGAAGGATTTCTCTGACTTGCATATTCCCATGTGCATAATGAACCAGACACACTAAAGACAAGATGTGCTTGTAAGGAGAGCATTAGTGATTCCATTAAAGGTCATATATATTGCTGTTTACTTAAAACTTAATTGCACAACTGTGTAATGTGGCAATTGTGCAGATAAGCTGTTAACTTCAGGAAAAACATACCTGTTTGTGTAATAAATAGTTGCAAGCCTCTTCATGTCTTAACTTTTCCTGACTCTTAACCTTCTGTCTACTTCCACCTGTAGTGAAATCAGAATCGTAAGCCAGGAAGGCTTATTTTTTAACATTCTCAATGCATCTCACTAAAAATAACCTTTTATAATGGTTCTACCAAGGGTATTGATTTTTCTCATCTCATTACTGTGTCATTACAGTTCTCAGAAAGGTAAACAACGTTTTAAGCTCTGGGGAACAAACCACTGAGAAATAGAGGCCTGCATTCTGAAATGCTTTGTAATTAAAGGATAAAGATCTCTAAAGGCAACTTCTCTGCTTTGAGCTAAAGTAGTTGCCCCAGTTAAGGTGGCGCTTATCAGGCAAGAGTTAAAAGGGCTTTGTTGTTTGCATGTGAGCACTGGACTGACTGATGGGGCACACACCTACCACTTTCACATGCTGGGTTTGTTACCTGTTACTAGGGTGGTTCTTGGGGTTGTTTGGAACAATTAGCACACCGGAGGGTTGCTGTGCTTCATGCTGGTTGAGGCTTTTTCATCACACCTTTGGCTGCAGCACCTGGGTTTCAGGAACTGTTTTAACATCAGCTATTTTTACTTGTTAACAGACAGCAGATAAGCAGTCTGAGTGCTGTCAGCATCAAATGTAATCTTGCTCTGCTCATACTTTCAAAGCCTGTATGTACCCTTACAAGAGAATGATTTATCTGGAGCTGAAAAGCTTAAAGACTGGAGCTTGTGCATACGTAAACCTTCAGAATGAACCAGACCTGGAGTAAGGCCCCAAAAGCATTAGGGGACTCACTAAGCAAAGCTTGATGTCTCTAGTGACTGTTCAATCTGCTGGTTCAGATTCTTTGGTTTTCCCAGGGTGTGTAGTGTGGTTGTGTGGTGCCTTGGTTTAATTTTATATCTTTACTTCTAAGGAATTGGAGTTAGAAAATCAAGATTTGAAAGATCGAATGAGAGAAGCACAAGAGGAGCAAAGGATGCTGCTGGATAGAATCAGTGGGCTACAACTGCAGCTGAGTGAGGTAAGCCTAGTGTTGGAATGGAGGGCTGTAATAGCTACCCAGTGCTGACAGGGGAGGCTGCTAGAAGTAGAAAGGAAAGCACATGTGACTAGGATGTGGTCTTCACTGCTTTCCCGTGAATCATTTCTATGTGTCACTGTCGTCGTCTTCTGCTGCAAAAGCCTTTGGTCTTGTAATAATAATCAACATCTGAGGATTCAGGATCTGACCTGTTACAATGTCATTCAGTGGTGCTCGTAAATGTGAGCAATAACATTTATGGCTGTACGTATGCAGCATAATGTGAACTGTGAGGTGCTCTGGCCAGTTGTAATGGAGAGCAAACCACCTCCGCAACTAAATGTAGGTGGTGTGTTACACTTTATCATAGCTGCTGCTCATTTTACAGCTCTTGCTTTAAGTGGAAACAAGAGACAAATCTTTAATTGGTAAAAACAGAAACAAAGGTTTTTCAATAGGGGATTTCTCACCCACATTCGAAACCCTGATTTTAAAAAAGTTCCCTCCTCTTAAAGGCACAAATTTGACAGTAGAATTAAGGAAGAAAATAAAACCAAGGGCTTCTTTCCTCTTTGGGGAGGCTCATTCTTGTTTCTCTCACTGTATTTTTGTAGAGGTATGCTTTAAGAGGGTGCAGCTTCCCCTCAATGTAGCACACAGATAGAATATTTCTTACTGGAATCATCTTATCTGAACTGTTCTTCTAAGCATTTCCTCAATAAAATGAACTCCTTTATACTCGCTTTCCAAAATCAACAAACTTCTACTGACAAACTGCTCTCTTCTGCCTCAGTAGTGTATGATCTAGACATCTGAAGATAGTCCAGTTGTCTTGTATGCACGTCAAGAGACATTGCTCTGTCAAAGACTCTGAACTTCTGTTTGTCCTCTCTTCCAGAGCTTAGATGGTAAAGCAAAGGGGAACAGTCAAATGTGAGGCATTAAAACTGGGGTAGATTTGTCAGCTGCTGAACTGTGTTTGAGCCCCTTATACCTCATTGCAGAAATGATTTGTGGGGGGATTTTCTTTGTTATTTTTGCAGGAGCAAATGTTTGCAGATGATCTTGAGAATGAGGTACGATATCACCTGCAAGCGATAGTCACTTCCCTACTTCCAGTTCTATCGCATTTAACTGATGGTACATGAAACTATAGAGAAAAGCAAAGCTACCTGTAAATGCTAAATGAAATATCCACTGGTGCGTGCTCAGCTTATACAGCTGCACAGCACTTCTGTTACTACAAATAATATATGTAATCCCTATGGCACCTTTAAAGCAGACTTAATAGTATAAATGTCTTTAGTGACTTTCGGTAATGCAAGGTTAATAAATGTAAGTTAAACAGTAGCAAATAATGGTGCTTTATTCCCTTGACTCATTGTTCAAGACTCCTCTTGTGGAGGAGCAGTGGAAGAACTTCAGAATCAAACATTTAAGAATCCTTTTCAGTGCTGGTCTTGGTTGAAGTTCTCCCTAAACCTTATAAAAGTTGCTTAGTTGCTTGAGTTCTTATCAATCTGTCTCTCCTAGTGGCTTTGGCTACTTGGCATTCTCTCCTTCTCTTTCAGAAGGATGAGCTGAAGAAAATCCTAACCACCAAGGAAAAACAGCAGGAGGAAAGTTTAAGGACTATTGAAGCTCTCAAAGCTAAACTCAAGTATTATGAAGTATGTGAATTGATTTGAAATGTAATACAGCAATTGGTATTTATTGTAGTAAATACTTAACCACTTAAGCCTTTCAACAGTTGCTTATCTCCTTATAAAAGCTTCCCTGCCCTTTAATCCCTAGTTTAACATACAGTAAAACTTTGAAATGAGTTTTCAGCTTTAATTTTGTGTTTCTTTGTGTTTGCTTTTAGGTTGATTTTGTGGGATCTGGGAGTAACTTTGCTAACAGTAAGTATTTAGTTATTAAATCTTGCCATGTGTGATGCAGTGTTAGCATATAGATAAAGGGTGTGCTTTTCCTGTTCTCTCTTCCTTTTGTTGGTCTTAACTATAGCCAAGCACAAGCTGTGTGTCCACACTTGAGACCTCAGAATCCAGTCAGCTTCAGCTGGGCACAGCTGGGCATGCACATGAGGCACTATCGATCAGTCTTGCTTAGGGGCGACTGGTCTTGTGAAATGTGCATTTTAACTGCTGCATCTTCTGATAACATGAAAAACAAGCTGAGCAGGACCTGTGCTCCCAGCTGGGCTCCTCTGTCTGTCCTTCATGTCTTAAACAACCCTCGTGTCTAGCTTAGGACAAGAAAACGATGGTCTTTTGTGTCCAACTTGGTCACAGGCCTGTCTTGCACCTGTGTAACTTAAAAATGTCCCTTAACCTGTCATGAGCCATGGTGAGAGCTGTTTGCCTGCCTGTCAGGAAGGGTCATTCATTTGGAGTGCAAGGGGATGCTCTTCCCTGGTGTTCATGGTGCTTTTCATGACTGTTCTGCAGAAGGTTTTACTGAGCCCGTTACAGTCCCACTGAACAGAATAAAAGGAGGAAGGAAAATCATAGTTTCTGTGACTGTGTTACAGTTTTTAACCAGAGACTAAATGGTGTTTGCTTTGAAAACCTAGGAAAAGAAGATTTATTGCTTAAACAAGGACAAGTGTTTGCGGGGGAATCACAGGTAATAAATATGTTGCTGCTTGAGTGAGTTCTAAGATATTTGTGCTTGGGAAAGCTAAAGGTAGTTATAAATGTCTGTATATTAACCGTTGCTTTGGAATACAACGTTTCCCTTAGTACTTGCTTGGTTACGTTTAAGTGCTGGTGCCCTCTAGAGCTACACATGTGACATAGCCCTGAGTGCTGGGTGCTGAATGGTCTGTGGTGAGCATCCTTACAACTCAATCACACTGCCGGACCAACAGTGTAAAGGGCAATTGGTTTTCACCTCCATAATTCTTCTTGTCTACTTTTAATTCAGTTAAAATTCAGGAAACTTGATGTTCCTGCCAGCTCTGCAACAATTTCCTGACAACTTTGGTGGCTGATAGCTAGCTACCTTGTAAAGCAGCAATTCAGTTATAAACAAGATCCATCAGACCCTGACAGTGAGTCATACATGACAGGGACTGGTCCTAACTGACAGGCTGTTCTTACACTTGAGTGATGCTTTTGGAGGTGAGTGATGGCTGGAAATAAAGCTGTACATCCTGGGCTTTCTCACTGGGTCTCACTGACAGATATTTTTGATGTTCTGCTGCTGACACAGAAAAATCCAGTCTTTTCTGCTGTGTTTCACATGAGGTTATCCCTGTGGTCTTGGGATTTCTTTATCTTTAACTCAAGTTTAAAATGAGTTGGTGCGTAATTCTTCATGTAAAAAGAAAGGAAAAAGGGGGTGGGTGGGTGCAAAAAGCCAACTGACCCAAAAACCCCAAACCATGTCCCAGGGAGGAATTAAGCTGCTTTAAGCTAGTCTAAGCCAAGCTTCCAGCCTGCCTGACAGCTGCACAGTACTTTTTGGCCCTTGGAACATGAACAAGTGGTGGGTGGTAATGCAAACCACCTAACGGGAGGGCAAAGCTGCCTTGTGAGAGATCCCTTCCTGGATGGTAAATTACATGAGTGTGTCCCTCAGTGTTTTTAGAGAGAAGTTTCCATCAACCATGAGTGTCTGTTCTAATTCCTTTTAAAATTATTCTCCCATGCTTGAGGGCCGGGGGAAATCCCTTCATAAATGAAATTTCTTCTAGCAGATGAGTGAATAAATATGAAGAATATAAGAAGGAAAAGGAAATGAATACACTATGCCTGAACTTTAGTGTCGGTGGGTCTGGTGGTTGGGAAATGGTAATGTAGAGCTCTATTAAAGATTTTCAGGGTTAAAAGCTGAAATACACATGTTCTGTAATATGGGCAACAATAGAGGAGTGTGTTCCTAAGGAAAAAATAAATCTCAGGGCTGTTTTATGCTCATCTCACCATGGGTTTAAGACAGTTATGTACGTGGCTTGTGTAAACGTGTATCCGTTTTGTGCCAATTCATCTTCAGTCCAGGTCGATGCTGAGACCCCTGGAGCTCTCCCTGCCTAACCAATCACCCACTTCAGAGAAGGAAACTTTAAAGAAGGAACTTGACAACGTGAGGACCTGCTATGGTGCCGCAAAGGAAGAAATCAGCAAACTGCAGCGAGAGCTGTCTCACAAGGTATCGGAGTGTAAAGCTTTGGCATCAGAGTCTGAAAGAACCAAGGCGGAATCTGACGGACAGATAAAACAGCTGGAGGATGCTTTAAAAGATGTGCAGAAAAGAATGTTTGACTCGGAAGGCAAAGTTAAGCAAATGCAGGCGCACTTTCTTGCTCTGAAAGATCACCTGACGAACGAAGCTGCTTTGGGAAACAGTAAGCTAACAGAGGAGCTGAAGGAGCAGTTGAAAGAAATGAAAGGCAAGTACGAAGGAGCCTCTGCTGAAGTGGGAAAACTGAGGAACCAGATTAAGCAGAACGAACTGCTGGTGGCGGAATTCAAGAGAGATGAAGGCAGGCTGGTGGAGGAAAATAAAAGGTTGCAGAAGGAACTTGTGAAGTTGGAGATGGAACGAGATAAAAGGGGAAGAAATGTCACGGAGTTAGAAGGGCAGCTCAGAGAAACAGCGGCAAAGTTGGCCCACTCGGTAACTTCAGAGACATTTGAAAACATGAAGAGTTTGCTATCGACCGAAGTGAATGTGAAAGCAAGGAGGTTAGCAGAGATGGAAGGAGAGCATGGCAAACTGCAGGCAGAGATTCTGCTTCTGAAGAGGGAATCCGAGAGTCAGAAGGCGAAACTGGCTCAGCACGTAAAGCCGGAGGAGCACGAGCAAATGAGGAGGGGGTTCGAGAAGAAAAATGAAGAGCTTGGGAAGGCAGTTTCTGAATTGTCCCAGAAGAACCAGGCTCTGCAGAAGGAGCTTGAAAGATTGCAGGCTGATAACAAGGTATTTAAGCAACAAATCCAAATGCTAAAAACTGAACTGAAAAGCCAGAATGTGCCTTTAAAAATCCATGAGGAATTGAAGAAAACAAATGATCTGGCCGTCAGTGACCTGACCAGAAAGCTTTTTGAACTAACAAAGAAGTACAATGAAAGCAAAGCAGAAGCTGAAAAGTTGCTGGCAGAGAAGAACAACCTGAATGAGAACATGAGCCACTTCCAAGCTGTGTACCTGTCTCCAGAGCAGCACAAAAGAGAGGTGGAAGCTTTAAGATGCAGCGGTATGGAGCTGGAAAAGCAGCTTGCTGAGCTTCAGAAAAAATATGATGCTGAACAAGGGAAAGTGTGCAAGCTGGTCTCTGAAAACACAGCCCTGAGAGAGACTCCCGGGGATCAGTATGTGTTGGCTACAACACATGAAGAGGTTAAAACAGCCTTGAATAACACCCTCGAAAAAACCAGTAAGGAGCTGTCAGATCTGAAGGGAAAAATGGAAGAGGTAAAGCAAGAACTCCAGAGGGTGAATGAAGAAAATGGAACCTTGAAGAATAAGGTGAAACTCTTACAGAATCAACTGCAAACAGAGTGTATAAGTTTGAAAGACCATGAAACTGCAGTGACTGCTTTAAATAAAAGCATGCAAGAGCTTCAAGAGAACAACGCTGCAGTTAGGGCTGAGTATAAGAGGGGTCAAGAAGAAATCTTACAGTTGCATGCAGAAATTGAAGCCCAGAAGAAGGAACTTGACACAATTCAAGAGTGCATTAAGTCCAAATATGCCCCAATTGCCTCCTTTGAAGCCAGAGAACAAAGGTTTGAAGCCACAGTGAAAGAACTAAAAGCACAGTTGGAGGAACAGGCGCTGAAGTACAGAGAAATGGAGGAGGAAAACCTGAAGTGCAAAGAGGAGAATGAGAAGCTCAGAACCGGTGTTCTGTCCATCCAGAGCGACTTGCAGCAGAACTACATCCTGGCTGAGAAATCCCATGAAATGGAGAAAATGTTCACAAGCAAAATGGAGGAGCTGAATGAGCAATTGAGGGACTTGCTGCAGGAATACACAGGTGAGAAAGAGAAGGATGAGCTGCAGGAGAGCACCGAGCAGCCCATGACCGTCCAGGCTGGGCATCTTTCAGCAGAGCAGATTGAAGCCTTGAAGAATGCTCTTGGCCACACTGTAGAGGATCTGAGGGAAGCCCTCAGAAGTAAGAAGGAATGTTACAACAAAGAAACACTAAAAGTAGGACAACTGCAGCAGGAATTGTCAGGTCTAAAAGAATCTTCAATCCCTTTGGTAGAATATACCCAAATGAAGGAAACATTAGAACAAGAAATTGTAGCAATGAAAACCAGCTTGAGAGAAAAAGAAGAAGAAAACCAAGTGAAAAGCAAGGAAATCTCGAAGCTGCAGTCGGAGGTGCAGCTTACTCAACAAGCTTTAACAGACCTGCGGAGGAAAGAAGTGATTGACGTGTCGGAATACGAATCCATGAAGAGTACTCTGGAGGCCCAGATTAACAGCATAGCTGAAAGCTTGTCCAATATGAGTAGAAAGTATGAGGAAGCATGTGAGGAGGCTTTGCAAGCTAAAAAGAGTGAGCTTTCTTTAAAGGATGAGAAGGAATTGCTTCAGTTACGGAGCTGCAGTATTGAGCAAGAAATCAAAGACCAGAAAGAAAGGTGTGATAAATCATTGACAACAATTATGGACTTGCAGAAGAGAATACAGGAATCTGCAAAGCAGGTGGAAGCCAAGGATAACAAGGTGGGATATGGCAGTTAAGCTCTGGATGCTTTTAGTTTAGGGGTAAGGAACTAGACAGCAAATGCAGCTACTTTAGTGTTCGAGCATGACTGTGTGTGCTGAGCATTAAGTACAGGGTGATGTGGGTGTATCTGATGGTGGTCTGAATACCTAGATGGGGCCAAAAAGAAGGCTGGAGAAGGGCTTTGGCCAAGGGCCTGTAGGGACAGGCCAAGGGGAATGGCTTTAACCTGCCCGAGGGGAGACTGAGCTGAGCTCTTAGGCAGAAGCTCTTCCCTGGGAGGGTGCTGAGGCGCTGGCACAGGGTGCCCAGAGAAGCTGTGGCTGCCCCATCCCTGGCAGTGCTCAAGGCCAGGTTGGACACAGGGGCTTGGAGCAAGCTGCTCCAGTGGAAGGGGTCCCTGCCCGTGGCAGGGGTTGGAGCTGGAGGAGCTTTAAGGTTCCTTCCAACCCAAACCAGGCTGGGATTTATCAGACTTCAAAGAGTGTTAAAAAATATTGGTTTTTGTAAGTGATACATCCTTAAATTAGGTTTTTTTTTGTGTGTTTTTTTCTTTCTTTTAAAGATTACAGAGCTGCTTAATGATGTGGAGCGGTTAAAACAAGCTCTTAATGGCTTGTCTCAACTTACATACACCACTGGGATTCCCTCAAAGAGGCAGAATCAGCAGGTTGAAGTGCTCCAGAACCAGGTGAAAACACTGCAGCAGCAGCTTGCTGTAAGTAATCCTGTTCTCACGAGTTTTGTTCTTTTTTCTCCTCCTTGCTTCCCTCTAAATCTTTTGCTTCTTTCTCCCCATTGGATTTGCACCATTTGGGAACTTTTCCAGGTAAAAAGGACACAGACAATTTGGAATCTGTGCTCATGAGCTACGCTGCTGTAGTTTGTGCCAAGAGCATTTCCATATGCAAGTTCCATGCTCATATTTTCTTACAAAGCCCACCAGCCATGTATATTCTCACTGCAAAAGAAAGTGAGGCGGTCCTTCCTTAATGGATTTGATTCCATGTTCCCTTGCCTGCAAACACAGAAGAGTGTTGCTTATCATTAAGTGTACTAACAGTAAATGGGAATACTTCAAGTGCTGCGACTGCACACAAACACGTTTGTGGCCCCTGTGACTTCAGTAAAGCTCCTAATGAAAGCTGTGCCTGTGAGCAAGGTTAGTTGTAAATCTGTGCAGAAGCAAGATGTGTCTTTAACAGTGTTTGTGAGGTTGACCTCACGAATGAGGCGAAGCATTCTTATATTGGGTGGTTTAAAACAAACAGCTAATGCTGTTGGTGAAACAAGTTTTCACCCTGGCACCTGTGCTTGCCACACTAGATCAGCCTGCCTCTGCCAGCCTTCAGCAAAACTGCCTTGCTGCAAATCAGCAGTAACAAAAGTAAAGCAGTGACTTTCTTCCTGATTAATGGAGGGGATACAGCTAACTTTAACCTTGATATTCTGCTTCGGCTAGTCTGTAAGTACACAAATCCAAGCTCCCAAAGTTGGCAAGAGGCAAGAGTAAATGTTAAAAGAACTCAATGACTTCACCTCTTCTTCCTCTCTTCTTTTTATAGGATGCTAAAAGGCAGCATCAGGAGGTAGTTTCTGTTTATCGGACCCATCTTCTCAGTGCTGTACAGGTATGATAGTCCCAGGGTCAGATTGGTTTACTGTCATCTCAGCATAAGAGGTTCTTGAGACCCACTTCTAGCTGCCATACTGGAAGACCTCAAACGTCTTCAAGTGCCTGTTTTGATGTTGAGAGTTTTAATTTAGAATGAACTGATCCAACAAAAGCAAACACACCCCACAGCTCTAGACTTGGGCGATCTTCTTACTACACTTTGTCTGTGTGTAACTCTATATAACCATAACCTGCTTTGAAGGGTGGTGGTGTCTGGTGGTGTGAGCCTGTTATTTAGTTCTGCATCATCCCAGGTAATGCTGGAGACAAGTCCAGTAGAAGCTGGAAACCTAGTGCAGGCTTACCCAGTGGCTCTCACTGAACAAAGAGCTGATCAACTCATTCCAGTCTTATGACTCCAGATACTTGAGCATGCAAAAGAGGGAGTGCTACCACAGCAGCAGGCTGTGGCGTCCAGAGGATAGGAACAGTGATTTCTTCCCCACATCATATTTTCATGGAGGAAACTGCTGTGTCAAAGAGGCAGCTCCTTCTTGTTTGCGGGGAAAAGTAAAAGTATTCTTAAAGTACTGCAGGTTTTCCCAGTGAGTGGTGAAAATACAGCAATGATTTAAGTCTTTTGGGTGATTTTGAAGAATCTCCTAATGTTAGTGACGGATAGTTGACACTTTATGGGATTTTAATTGTTCTTTTAACTGTTTGCTTGCTCCAGGGTCACATGGATGAAGATGTCCAAGCTGCTTTACTACAGATCATTCGGATGAGGCAGGGACTTGTTTGCTGACATGTTAGTGCCATTGCTCGTGAAGGCTGCTGCATTGTAGGAGTGCTGTGGTTATGGGAGTGATAACCTTCATGAGGTTTATATAGTTATGATAATATAGCTGCAATTAGGACCTCCAAATATGAAACAACTTACAAAGCTGAAACATTTTCTTCATCTAAAATGGTAAAATAGGGCTACTGAGTTTCAGATCTGACACTTATTAGATTAATAAAAGATGTAGAGCATCTTTTAAAGCTGGTATACAAGCTGACTGTCAAAATGATGACATGGTAGTTAAATCCTTTTAATGTCTGATTGACCACTTATTAAAGCAGGGCTTATACTCATAAACCTGTTTATCCTTGAACTTGAACTCTCATGGTATGGTTAAAACATAAACTGGCTTCAAATGAGTTTGGCTGAGTATAATAGCTGTACATCTCCTTTAATGATTAAGAGAAAGTGGCTATTTTGTCACATAAGCTGATCAGGACATACTACAACATGTTTAGTGAGTCAGCTGCAAAGGTAAAGGAAAGGTGTTTAGGTCTATGTTGTAACTTGGCTGGCCAAGTTACAGACTTTAACTATAAGCTTAAGCTGTAGTGCCTTTTGCTTATTGCAACATTTAAAATCAGGTTTACCATCAAAACACTAACTTCTATGTTTGCCTCCTCTTCCCCCCAGGATTTTTCAGGAATGCTTTGTAATATTGATTACTGTAGGCTAAAGCAGTGGGACTGGAGTGGCACGGTTTGTAGAGCAGCATTTTGAGCTAAACTCGATAGTCCTGCTCCTCTATAATTTCATTCTTCATTAGGCTGATGGGTGCAGACTGAGCAGCTCCTGAAGCTGCACACTAATCAGGTATTGGATTTTCAAACACTATCTCATGGCAGTTTAAGGTATTTTCCTCTTAGCTGTAAATTGTGTACTATAATCTTATTTATGGGGAAAGATGCAAATAGTAAGGATTAATCGAAGGAGAATTTTGATCTGCTTGGAATCTACCTATTAAGCCTGACAGGGCTTTGTTTTTAACTGAAGGATGATGTTCCCATAAGTAAGTTTTGTGAAAGAGAACATGAAATTTGGGACTATTCAAAGGAAGTAACTGGAAGACAAGCCCAGTAAGGTATGTGATTCTAATAGAGCGAAGAGCGTAAGGGCTGTTGGTAGTTGTGTTAACCTCAGTCTGTGCTTGAAAGCATTTGCTTATAACCAACAAGTTAGGAACCTGGCATCCTGATGCAGAAGAGAGAAACCTCTTCCATGTTCCTGAGAAGTGAGGACCTAAGTCAGAGCGTGGAGTTCTCTGTTTCACAGTGACTGAGCTTCCCCCCAAGCTGTGGGCTTAGGTCCCATTGTTTTAGTTGTGTTATGTTTGTTTCCTTTTTTTATCCCTTCTTGGGCAGAGTCTTAAGGAATTGAAGAGACAGCTGCCACATGGAGGAGGATGCAGACATAAGGATGAACGTGCAGGGCAGTTTTTATTATATAAATACACTTAATATATTTACTAAATATGTGTCTGTAGTTAAACAGATCTACCGCTGCTTTCCTTTAATTTCTTAGAGGACTATTACAGAAAACATCTCAGTATATGTGTTACTTTTTAGCCAAATTCTTTTATGATTGCATTACTTGAAACTCTTATTCGAGAGCCTTTGTTTTGATATACTAACTCCGGCGTATTTTGATACTGTATGGTCCTTCTCGAGGGAGTTCTATCTATGTTTTTCTAAATTTCTCCCTTCCTGCATCATCAATAAAGTGTTTTCTTCTTTTTCTTATTGTAGTGGTCAGTTCTGTCGAAGGTAAAGAAATGCAGTCTGGGTAGTGAAGGGTCTTGAACGCACTCGAGTGCTCCCAAATACCAGGTAACATGTTTGGGGTGTAGATGTCCACTCTGGGGTTACTGGGTTTTTCTGTTTCCAGAGCTTCATAGTTTCACAGAATCCCAGGTTGAAGGGACCTCAGGGACCATCTGGTCCAACCTTTCCAGGCCCAGCATGACCCAGACTGGGTGTCCCAGCTGTACCCTGTGCAGCTGAACCTTAACAGTGTCCAGTGCTGGGGAGTCACCTCTTCCCTGGGGAGATTAATCCAATGGTGATTGTTCTCAGTGTGAAGCTGTGAACTTTGCATGAAGGTGATGGTAAAGCCTGGGCCGTGAAGCTCCCATGGCAGTGATAATCCATGTGCTTGGTAAAAACATCCGTGAGGCATCTCCTCCCTAGTGAGGAAGCTTTCAGTACTTGTGCATTCATGGACAAACATCACTGATAATGGAAGGAAGAAAGGAGAGGAGGGCACAAGAATGTCAAATGTAAATGAAATGCATCCAAGAGGTTTAAGGGATTTTAGGAGCTGCTCCGTGCCCCAGTAAAGCAGCATCAATAAGGTAATGCAGCCCATAACTGATTGTGGGCACAATGTTCCTATTATGCAATACCACTTTTTATAGCGAGTATGGGACTTCCTTTCAGGTTTGGAGTAGCAGCCTTTGGAATCTCTCTGCATCCTGGGGAGTTCAGAGGGATTACTGCTTCTTTTTCTTAATCTAATGCCTGCATTGCTCTGCCAACTCAGAAAATTAACTTTTAATAGAAAAAACGTACATGTAATTGTGGCAGCTATTACATCAGAAGGATTTTGCATTAAGTGCAAAAGACTGTGAGCATTTAAGGGCCATTAAGTTGTGAAGCTTTCTCTTGTTGGACTCGGAGCCTTCAAGCCAGCCCTCCGCTGTGAAGGGTATTTATTTTTACATTTGCAGGGGATGCTGGATGATGGGAAGGGAATACATTTGAAAGGAAAATAGGACATGAAAATGTGAAGGTTTTCCACTCGCTGAACAGCTAGTTTTATTTCATAATAATTAGTTTTACACTTCATTAAATGTTGGGATTTGTGCTTATGTGCTCTTAGGATACAGTGGGGAAGACTTTAAACGTTCTCAGCAGGGCATCAACTTAGTTTTATAATGTAATGGGGGCAGTGCAGGGTAAGATGGGATCTTGCTCTCATCTTGAGGGTCAGGTGTAGTGTAAGAATTATTCTGGGTGCAAAGATACTTCTGGTTGGTGTCTTTCTTGCCATGCTGCTTGCTGGGCTTTGGTTGTGTAAGATGCTGGCTTACATACCCATGACCAAACTTGCAGATGGTGAGTATAGACTAAGTGAAGTCACAGTGTGATCTGGTCAGGGCAGACTTGGACAAGTAGCTTTGTCTTCAAGTGGCACTCGAGCTTTACGGGTAGGGACACCTGTGCCTTTGGGTTAGGGAAGCTGTCTCTAAACATCACAGCTGTGAGGAAGGGGTGATCTGACCATGCAGGTGTAGTCCAACTGCTGAATTCCTCTGAAATAAGCAAGGATGGCAGAGGTGAAGTCAGCAAGAATTCCCTAGGGAGAAGTAGGAATGTGGGAGGAAGAGAAGTGCCAGCTCTGGGATACCGGGATAAAAACCTCTGCAGAATGTGAGGATGGAGCTTCAGGGAAACAGCCAAAGCTGGCTTGGTTTTTATTTGTGTGTGTATAGGAGGCCAAGGACTTAAAAGGAGCACTTGCTGCAAGCAAGAACAATAGCCAGGTTTTTAGAAGAAAAGGGTTGAGAAATACCCATTAAGTATTTATGGGCCTGGCTTGAACTCATGCAACTGGAATACATTCCAGTTGGTGAGCTGTTACGGGGATATACTGGAAATAGCAGGATGGGTGCTGAGGTATGGTATTAAAGCTCCCAGAGCATCGCCTAAAATCAGAGGGAGCAGTGTCCTCTAGGCTGGAGAGCTACAGCAGGGAGAGAAAGAGCTGTCTGTGGGTGGACTCGGTTCCATCCCAGCCTGAAAAGCTCTAATTTTAGCTGAGGAAAGCATTCACAGGCACTTGGCCTTCCCTGCTCCGACTGCTTCTGTGCAATCACAGCCCGGAGAAGCTTGTGAAGATGCTGATTGCTGGTGGTGCTGGTGGTTGGGAGACACCAAGAGACCCGTCAAGTGGTATTTAAGTAGTTGGCAGCCTCCATCTCTTGGAGCAGGGCGCAGTGTTGGCTCGTCAGTGAGGAAATGCAACATTGCTACTAGTGTGTTAGAGCTGGAAAAACACAGGGAGGCTCGGCTGAGATCTGCATGGTACCACACCAGGCAATGCCGAAGTCTTCAATTTCCTTCAGTAAGACGGGGATGTAAATGCACTTCTGGCTTTTGCACATCAAATCTGAAGTGGAAATTACTCCAGCATATCTGCTCCTATTCACAGGGTGCTGAAGTGATATACGCGTGAGTGCTTTCTGATGCTAGCATGACATGTACTGGAACCGGCCACGGAGCAGAGTGCTCTGCATTGTGCAGCGTGCTCGGGGGAGCCACCAAGCTGGTGAGTTTAGTTGCCTGAAGATGTGTTTCTGCTGAGGAACCCCCTCCTCCCCCAGCAGCACTGCTGCAGTATGCAAACTGCCCCATGGCTGCAACTTCTTGCCTTTAGCATCATGCGTTTACCTGCGGTGCGTCCCTCATCCTGCCTCCAGATGGGTGAGGATGGTGAAGGGCAGTTTGAAACAGGGCAGGGAGAAAGCCTGATCAAGAGGGAGCTGCTCTCTGGTCTTACATCTCCCTACAGCAGCCAGGGGTCTGGCACAATCCCCTGCTGCTGCCCGGGCAGGAGACCTGGAGCTTTGCACTGCCTCACAAGGGAAGCGCTCGGCTGCAGATGTGCTAACTGAAAGGGTAGGTGATAGGTGTGAGAGCTTCACGTGCTGACCTCGCAGGAGCCAGGAATCCCAGCATCGGCTGTTCAAATGATGCTATCCCTGTTGTCTTCTGCCCGGAAGGAAATCTCCTTGTCTCCTCTTGGGACTCCTGGGCTGTTGGCAGCTTGCTCTGATCCGAAGCTCACCAGAGTTATCGAATTCTTATAAACGTGAATAGGAGACAACTGCGTGTAGGCATCTGAGCTCTGGAGTCTGGCACACTCGAGCTGTTGGAGGTTTCCCTGGAGGTGCTGTGTTGATACCTTCCCCGCACACAAGGAGTGGGTGTGATGTGCTCGGCGAACAGAGCCTTTGGTGCTCAGGCCTATTTCTGTACGAGAGCTGAGGCAGCGAGATGGTAACCCTCTGCTTGCAGCCTCCTCCTGCCTCAGGCAGTTGAGTCTCTCACGTCCTACTGTTGCTGGAAGGTAGAATCAGTGGGCATTTAAGTGGTGAGACACTGATGAGGGGGAGTGCTTTGGAAAGCAAAACCTCACAGGAGGTGAGGGTGGAGGGAGAGCAGGGTCTGCAAAAGGGAACAGGGCTCTCCAGGGGCCTCAGGTTTACCTGGGGAGGGTGAGGGAGTACAAATCCATGTTAACGTGGGCAGCTTGGAGGAATCCTGGCATTCCTCTGTTGCTGTTCCCCCTCAGAATGAGGGCTGTGGGCTGCCTGCAGGGGCTGCGTCTGCCTGGAGAGGACAGAGATGTGACATTGCACTGGACAGCTTCAGCCCCTACGTTCCCTGCATTTAATCTGCTTATTCTCGTGAGCTGTTCCAGAGCTGAGGACTCTGGGGATAAAGGAAGGATGATGCAGAGCTCTCAAACTACTGGGGCTTCAGCTTGCGGGTCTGGCCAGAGGATGCTTCCTGTGAATCCCAAAGAGCCCAGTCAGGCTGCAGCCATTCCCTTGACCTTGGCAAGGCAAAGTGAAGGTATTTAACACCCTGCCCCGCAGCCCCAGCCCTGAGCCACGCACCCAGCTCCTTGCTGCCTCGGGGCTTGTGACATCTGATAGAGCGTGTGATACAGAAGCTTCCCAGGTCACCTTTGCAGTATCTCATCTGCAATTGATGGGGAAGCCAGGGACCCATTAGAAAGTAAATTGCATGGAACAAATAAACCAATCTGCTTCTGGAGTGCTCCTGTGCCTTTGAACACATGGACTGGCTGCGGGGGGGTTAAGGGTATTTTGATTCATCCTAGTTGAGTTGACCTTAAAAACAAAAGGCAACAGCTCCACAACCACCCCATCCAGTGCTGTGGGTGGCTGCTGAGGAGGTGTCAGCGTTTAATCCCTGCCAGCCTGCCCCGGGGACACTGCAGTTATCGCCTTGCACCCCCAGAATCCAGGCTCTGGTGGTTGCTGATGCGGCTCCCATGGCTCGGCCATGCCCTGGGCCAAGAGCAGCAAGGAGAAGTCTCCTCAGAGCCGCTTCTGGCTGCTCTCCCTTTGCTAGCGTGGAAGGAAGGGAGGGAAGCCTGAGCGAGGAGCATCACCCTGGTCAGGACAACCTCATCTGCTCCTCTCTGTCTTCCTACCCCTTAAATCTGACCACGCTCTATGGCCTCCCTGCTCCGAAGCAGACTTCCACCGCTCACTGATGTCTGTGCTTGCTGCTGCTGCCTCCGGGGTTAGGCAGCGCTCGCAGCCGCAGCTCTGCCCCGTGGGCTGTGCTCCCACTGCGGGTTAGGGACGGCGAGCAGCGTGCCTGTGCCATCACATCCCCGGGCAGCCTCTATTTGCCTGCCTCCAGCGTGAGCCCCTCATCGTGAGCCGTGTCAGGCTGCTGGAACAGGCAGTCCTGGGCTGGGCCGGGCTGTGGGGCTCCTGCCAGCTCTGGGGGAACTGATGGTACCTGTGCTGGCACTACCTGTGCTGGCACTACCTGTGCTGGCACTACCTGCCCTCCGCAGTCAGAGCTGGGCTGAGGACAGGGCTTACCTGAGCTGGTGCAGAGCCCGCTGGGGTGCATTTGCTGTGCCAGCGCTCCTGGAATGGGTTGGGACTGCTTCAGGGAGTTTACACTGGGT